TGTGGGACTTATGGTTCCGAAGTTATAGCTGATAAAAATTCCACGCCTATGGGATGTGCCACGCCCATTTTCAACAAACACAATTATACATATATACCCGCCAAAGGTGTTGCGGTTTTCTTCCATAAACAAATAAATTGAGTTTATTCATTATGATTTATTTTGGAACGAATTTCCGTCATCCCTTGTCAAGTTTGGTTTGCAGACAAACCGGTTTCGGCGTTGTGCCATCTTCAGTGTCATTTTCGTTCATTATTCATTATATTGAAGCCAATGCGAGAAAAAAATTCTAAAAAATCAACGGTAACTTTTAGCCACTTAAAACTTGCACATTATCAGACTAAAATTGATTGGGCTATAAAACTGTGTACTCAGAAAAATTCTAATACTTCCAAGAAAATAGTTTGAAATTTAGGTGAAAATTTGTTGCACTTTTTTGTAGTTTTCTACAAATTGTTAATATTAGGTATATATGGAGTTTGTATGAGAATGAACTATGTTTTAATTGAAAATTCTTAAAAATAAATAAATACACATAAGTGGCACACAATATCACTTTGAAATGGCGTGCTATAGATATGACCGATACTGTACATACATACATACTTTCACAAATGTTTGGTAGATATACAAATCTCGTGTGACGGTGTTAGTGGTCGAACTCTTCCTAAACGGCTTGACCGATCCTCATGAAATTTTTTGTGTATATATGGTAGGTATGAGAATCGGATGTAAAGTATATTTCATGCCGCTAGGTGTAGGGGGCGTGGCACCTCCCATACAAACCGAATTTTTCATATTGCATATCTCTGGAAGTGTTCATGGTAGACTACTCGCATATGGTATGGAGATATATGAAAACAATTGCATTGTCATGGAGAAAAATTGCGGTTGTTGGAAAAAGGGGCGTTGCACCTCCCACACAAACCGAATTTTTCGTAAAATTCATGGAAGTGGTCTCGAACATGGTATGGAGATATATGAAAGCAATCGCATACTCATGGAGAAAAATTGTGTTTATCGTAAAAAATCAAATTTTTCATACTGCTTAACTTTGGAAAGTTGTCATGGTAGATTACTCGAACATGGTGAGAGATATATGAAAACAAGCGCATACTCATGGAGAAAAATTGCGGTTATTGGAAAAGGGGGTAGATTACTCAAAAATGGTATAGAGATATATGAAATGAATCCCATACTCTTAGAGAAAATTGGGGCTATTTGAAAAGGGGGCGTGGCACCTGTCAAACGCACTGAAACTATTACGTATCTTTGTATTTCGGTACAGTTTTGCTAGGTTATTTAAGACGGCAATAGAAATATGCCCTCTGACAACCACCAAACCCTAATATTAGAAGATAAATGCGTCACTGAAAATCATGAACGTGAACTGTTGGTGAAAATGTTAGACCAAAATGTTTCAATACAAAAAAAATATTTTGGGCGGGACGAAGTTAGCCGGGACTGCTAGTGTATTTATAAAGATTTTTATATTCTTTTGATAGAGTAAATGAATACAATTATTGGGGAAAAAACATCAAATATCTAGTATTGGGTTTTTATTTAGCTAATTGAAGATCGAGTATCGCACATATAATTTTTTTCTGGGTACGTTGTACCAAAAATTGAAAATATACGCCATGCAGCTGTTTGCAACAGCGGATATTTTCAATCTGGTACTTGTTATTCAAGCAATTGCAAAGTATTCGTAGCTCCGTTCCGAAAATTGATATGCTGTAATCCGATCGTAACTATCAGCGGCGCTGCCAGCTAAAAAAAAGTAGAATACAAAGGATTCAGTGGCCGATGCACTTTTGTCCCAGGAGGAAGAACACCTAACAGTTGCATTAATATACAAAGGAGATTGATAGGAGATTGTTCTGTTAGCTTAAATGATAAAATGTAAGCTCCCTCCTTTTAAGGGCCTCCATTTCACTAGATATTGACCTGCTTTAATTCTTGGAACGATTTCCCAAAATTCTAGCACATTCTCTTAGCTCCTTTTACAAAGCCTCGACCAATGCCCGGCCTTTTGTTCAGGCATTCCACCAGTTTTTCGTATTGCGAACCATTTGTTGTGATCTTCGATCTGATAATTTTATAAACATTTAATAATATTTTTTTTTTTCTATTCACACTTCAACTTACATACAAACTTTTGCGTTTACACTCCTTATTTTATTGATATTATAAAACAATTTGTTTCGCTCCTCCACGAGTGGCTATTCGTACAAAATTTCCGACAAATACATAAAAATGACAGCTACGTCGGATTCAGGCATACCAACATTACGAATTTCGAAGATGGCCTACGAATTTCGAAATTACGATACGAAAACGCGGATTACAGCAAACCAATTTTACGATTCGTAGCAAAATCGAATCTACGACGGATTACAGCATAGGGGTGTATATGTTGCATTTCCAGGGCCTTATCTTCTTTTAATTCCGAAAGCTCCAACTCTTCGCTTTTCTTAAGAAGTAGTATTTCGGATATCGTTATTTCATCCTCAATTATGTTACATAAAAAAGGGTTTATAACGTATGCAAACGTACATTTAAATAATTTCAAATCGGCAAATTTTTTTCAAAATCTGCTTTTAAATCATGTGCAATATTTTTTTCTAGCCTGGAAAATGATGAAATATTCTTTTTTTTGAGGTCATGAATAAAAAAACGTAGTTTAGCTTCGAAACTTAAAATAATTTGCGGCAAATCAAAATCAAAAACAAATTGCAGTGACAAATTCAAGTTTTGCAAATGTTCCATTATCTTGGTAGAGAACATTAAGTCAGAAAGCCAATTTTCATTCTCCAATTGCGGGTCATGTTCCGATCTCAATTTGCGTATGTGTATATAAACAAGACCAAATAAAACAACAATACAACGGAAAAGAATGTCCAGCAAAGAAGCTTGTATTTTGAAAAGTTAAAAGAGCCAAAACGTACAAAGCAAAGAGAAAGTAAAAAGAGCCGCACTTTGCTAAGCAAAGAGCCGGATTTGGCTCAAAGAGCCGCGTTTGCCCACCGTTGGTATATTGCGCAGAAGCATGGACAATGACAACATCCGATGAGGCGGCTCTTGGGGTATTCGAGAGCAGCGTTGCCATTTTAGCCGTTTTCCGGCTAGATTTAGCCGGTTTTGATAGCAACTAGCCGGAGAAAATTCGATCTAGCCGGCAGCCGATTTGTTAGCCGGTTTGTAAAAAAAAGTTAGCCGTTTTTAGCCGATTTTACTATTTGCCTAATTTTCAGGTGCAAAAAGTAAACAAGTTGTTCGAAAGCAATAATGCAGACCCAATGAAGATTTTTAATGAACTCAATGTTTTACTTTCGCATCTATGCTCCCTAGTGGTTATTAGCGCGGACACATTTGATCCTATATGCTCCCCGTTGGAACCATACCTTGCTCCATTTCCTCAGTTTTATCACAGTTTTGAAGAGTATTTAAAAACAAAAGTAAGCACAAACGCTTTTGACCACGAAGCCGAGAAAATAATTCGAGAAAATGGTCGCTATTTTATTATCACTTTAATAAAGGAATTACGCCTACGCCTCCCTACAAATATTGCCACACTAAAAAAAATTGACTTTTTTCGGTTGGAAATGCATTAAGAGTAATTAAACCAAAAGTATTTGTTCAACTACAGCAACAAAAACACAAATATAATGCCGACGAAATAACATCCATAGAGATGCAATGGCAACGGTTAACGTTACATACCTGGAGTAATTTAGACTCAACTGTAAAATTTTGGGCCGAAGTTTATCAATTTCGAAATGCTCTAGGAGAAAACCCTTTTGCTGACCTTTGCAACCTAGTTTTTAGTTTTCTTGTTTTGCCTATAAGTAATGCAGAAGTAGAGCGAATATTTAGTTCAATGAATATAATAAAAACTAAGCAAAGAAATCCAATGTGCGTTAAAACGTTAAACGCTATTTTATATATAAGATACGGTTTAAAACGTGAAGAAAAATGCTGCCATAATTTTACTGTAGATGACGATCTCTTAAAATTAATGAATTCAGGTGATATATACAATAGTGATTCATTTGATGATGAGGAATATACACTCGATATAAATTAATGGTGTTAACTAGTCTTTCGTTTCTTGCGATTTATTTAAATAAAGCATGTGAATTTTCACTAAAACATTTTAGCCGTTTTTAGCCGCTTTTTTTTGCCAATCTAGCCGGTCGGCCCAAAAAGTTCTGGCAACACTGTTCGAGAGTAAGATTTTGCGGAAGATTTACGGGCCTTTACGCGTTGGCCACGGCGAGTACCGCACACGATGTAATGATGAAATGTATGAGCTTTACAACGCCATAGACATAATGCGGCGAATTAAAATACAGCGCCTCCGCTGGGTTGGCCATGTCGTTCGAATGGACTCCGACGCTCCGGCTCTGAAAGTATTCAACTCGGAACTCGCAGGTGGTAGCAGAGGAGGAGGGAGGCCACCACAGCGATGAAAATACCAAGTGGAGAAGGACTTGGATTCACTTGGCATTTCCAATTGGCGTCAGTTGGCACAGAAGAGAAACGACTGGCGTGCTTTGTTGAACTCGGCCAAAACCGCTTAAGCGGTTACAGTGAGGAAGAAGAAGATTCAGTCGCTTTATTTTTTGCAACAAAAAGGCTTTATTCTTAAACGCATTAAGGCGAAGCATCAGTCTCTTTTATTTCTAACGTATGACTCATATCAATATCCAATATGCGCAACCATAACGAAATACCAATTTTCAATAAAGTTGCGCAAATTCAATACTTTTATCTCTTATGTTTGAGAAATAAAAGAGACTGATGCTTTGCATTAATGCGTTTAAGAAGACAGCCAAAACAAGCGGTGCAAAACAACTGATTGGGAGTTCAACTGAGTCAACCAGGGTTGCACTTGATGACAAACTGGGGTTTAAAATTGACCGTTTAGGCTTGTTGGCTTTACCCGAGTAGTAAAAAGCATCAGCATGGTGAATACAGGTTTTATCTTTTTTACTTACCCGCAATTTGCGATGTATATCGCGATAGCCTATGCGTATGACGTCACGACTATTTGGAAGTAACAGTACGTTACGCATTTCCAAAGCACTTCGTCCTGCTGAACCCTCGTACAATGCTATAAGCACACTCATCAGTGCCGTGGGAGAAAATGCAAAATTATTCCTGTTGAGTATCGAATGATAATGAAGGATGCGATAGGCCAAAGCGTTGCTAAGATCAGCCATAAGATTCGCTGGTGACAGATTTACGGAGTCCAGATGGCTTGGTAGTTGCTCTGCTGGGGGCAGTGGTAGCGGTTGATGAAAATTGTTGTGGCGAAAAGCATTATGATCGACATGTATGATGTGTGCATTAGCCACCCGTAAAACTGACAAAACGATGATTGATGACGTCCACAAATTCCAGTGAATATTTAACTTACGATCAATTGTAAACATGATGTAGAAGTAATAACCCCGTCAGAATGGGTACTTGTACGTCAATAACAGAAAAGTATGTGAATGAAGTGGCGTACGTAACGTAGGGATATGCCACAATGAAGGTGTTGTGTCTGCAAATAATAATCAGCTGGTCCTTACACAACTCAATTTTGCAGATACAATAGCTTTCACTGTACAATAGATAACGTCACTCTTTTTTACTAATACATTCACACTTCTCTTGGTGTCTTCGTCACGGTCTCTGGCTTTTCAAAGACAATTAATACATATTCACAATTATCTTGTCTTGTATAAGCGCAAGGTTATACAACTGTCAGCATTGTCGGACTTATGCCTCAGTTATGCATACTTGGCATTGCATGAGAATTGCCACTTGAGGAATCTGTGAAATGAGCTTTGCGTGTTAGCTGTTACCCAACGCACAGCATTACATATTATCCTCTGTGATACCACAAAACGTTTTATGTGACTTATTACTTCTGGTGCTTAATTGATCTGTTATCTGTATCTGATCGCTTCTGGCAATTGTTCATCTTCATCAGCCAACGGTAGACAGTTGTGTCATTTGTTTATTAGGGTGTAACGATTTGCAGATGCATTCCGGTTCAAGTAAGAGACCATCTAAGTGTCAAGGGTACTAACAGACATGGAACGTTTTGCCGTATCACCGACGATATGTAGAAGTCTGATGGTTTTTGATTTCTACGTAAAAGTGACAGTGCAAAGCATACATAACGTGCGTCAAAAGTTGAGCGTTGGCCAACGTTCGTTGGGTCCGTCGACGCAGGGCTTGCAATCTGACGCTCTCTATGCATACACACACAGTCTACTCAACAGTTAGTTTCATCGTTGAGCGGATTGTACGCAAAACAACCATTCTGACCGTGTAGGCCACAATACAGTAGTAAACTTTTTATTTACATAATAAAAAAATATGTATGTATGTACCAGGGATGTTTCGAATTTCATATTTTTCACATTCGCTAATGAGAATTTTCGGAATGCGAATGTTAGGAATAAAATTAAAAAAGCTATAATCAACTTAAGTCATCGTTTTTATTACTTAAAAATGTGTTAATTATTAGAACATTAAGCGAGTGCTTAAGCTATACAGTGTTTTAATCTAGCAGTCAAAGTTTAAAAGGAGCATATTATATTTCAAAAAAGTAGTTTTGCTGCCTTTTCTCCCATGAGGCGATTTCTTAGAGGCTCGTATACAAGGCCGTCTGCACTGAACAATTGCTCACTTAGAACCACCACCCGAGAGGATTTTCACCGAGGTGAGGTCGTTTTCCTTTAAGATAGGCCTTCAATTGAGCTTTGATCTCAAATTTTTTTAAGTCTCCAGATTCTACATCCGAGCTTTCGCTTTCGCTGGAGAAATCTAAAATTGTTTCTAGGTTGCTTATTAGACTTTTAGCAGTACTTGTTAAAGGCCCATCAATGTTGCTTGATATACTACTTAACCGTTTAGCGTCTGAAGCTAAAAGCCGGTTATTGCCGCACCCTGTTTAACTAGACGGACTTAGAGCCATTTCAACAATATTAGAGTGGACTCTCTGCCCATGTACACATAAGCATTCGCAAAACATTCGTATTTTTGATGCGAATGCGAATGTCGAATGCGAATGTGTGAAATGATGCGAATCATTCACATAACGAATGCGAATGCAAATATTCGCAACATCCCTGATATGTACGTTTGTTACTACGCTTGTGCGTAGGCTAATTCACGAATTCATTTCATGAATGTGGGTTAAAATTGCTACACTTTTTCATGAATTAAATTACATACGAAAGTTAACCATGAATTCGTCATCATTTCATGAAATCGTGAAGTGCAAGTCCGACAACGCCACGTTTCACAAACAGCTGTTTACTAGGGCTGTTACGTTTTTAGATTAAAAAGTATGGGTGGCATAACCTGGATTTAAAACACTGGAAAAGTTTAGTGGAATCGTTCAAATACACAATAAATTTAAATAGAATAAAGTGAAAATATATTAAAACCAATTTAAATATAATATGGTTCATTGCCTGGTACCAACGGCTTTTGCAAATTCAAAAGGAGACGAAAAAAGTCACACAAAAGTCTACTTCTTACTTTCTCGCTAGTGCGTTGCCGCTTTTTCAAAGCACTTAATCAATTCGCGAACTATGCATAAACGGGGCCATTTTTGAATTCGTAAAATTAAAAATACATGAATTCTGTCGCATAAACGTAGTATTTAATTATGTTTTTCATAGTATTTCATTCAGGGACGTGAACCGGATGAAAAATTTGGTCGGTTCAGTTCAGCGGTTCGAACCGCTTTTGCACTTTTGGATTGGTTCGTCAAAGCGGTTTTTTGGTCTTTGAACCGGGGTTTCGGTTCGGTTCAACGGTTCGAAAAACAAAAAAAATAACGCGCAAGTTTAAGAGTCAAGTGTCTGTCGAATGAGATGGGTTGCCTTTACATTTGATATTGTCACATGGTAAACAAACATGGTAGGTATTATCATGTTTACCAAAAAGAAAAAAAGTGGGTACATTTATCTATTAAAAATTGGTTGAAATGAACCTTTCAATTTTTATAGAAAGTGGTGTGGTTTTCGGTTCGGATCAAACATTTGTGGAATATTTCGGTTCGGTTAACGGTTCAGTTAATTAATAGAAAATAGCGGTTCACGTCCCTGATTTCATTGAATCATGAATTCATGTCATTGGCTTAAATGTACGTCTACGAAAACGACTTTTTCCATCTGTATACATATGTAAGTTCATTAGATCGTATTGCAAAAAGTTTAGGGTTTGTTCCAAGCGATTTTCATAACTTACTTCAGTCCCGAAAAGATTTACTTTAATTAAATATTTACACAATTACTAGTAGTTAGTTTCGGTTTAATGAAAAAGGGTCATTATATTTCTTGCCAAAGGGTTATATTTAATTTTGCACGGAGATTATTGTTCTAATACATAATATTGCGTACAGGTACAGGTGGCCGTTTTGAGACAAATGAACATAACTTACAAAGTTTTGACGCACGGTAATAGTTCTGTAAATAATAGAAAAATAATAAATTTATAGAAAAAAGGATTTAGCTTATTTTACAGGGTGCAGAAAACAAAATTTTACACTCTCGATATACGGTTATAGTGAGTGTACAAAATCGCTTAGAACAAATTGAACTCTTTTTGGGCCCATACATCGTGATACGGCCTAATGTACATATCCCTCATTTACTAAAGTACTGCCACTTATAAAAAAGAAAGTTATTTTGCAGGAAACGCGTTAAAAGTTTTCAAGTAGCATCATGCAGAAAATGGCGATTCTTATTCTCTTCCTTCGCGAAAACCACAAGACTTTATCATGAAACTATTTCACAATACGAAGCATGATGTAACGAGTAATTCTGCATTATCATCTCAAAAGACACGTTTGACAGTCTTTCGGAATAGACGATTAAAAAGTCGTTCAAAAATAGTCAACTTTAATTTGCCATTAAATTCACAAATTTTCGGCCGGATGAAAATCACTTTAAAAAATACATTCCAAAACAAGTTTTTTCTAAATTATTATTTTTTTAAATTTTTAATGCCTCGTTTCAAGCGTTGACGGTTTAAGTTGTCTGCTTCTCTTGTAAAATATGGAAATGTGAGTTAGCGCTTGTCCAACTTTATTTGGGAGCGACTTAAATTTGTTCGTATTGTTCCACACGCGTGACACGGTCCAACTAATCTAAGCGGAGTCTAAACAATGTTCAAACACTAGTGGGTGCAACATAATTTAATCTTGGAAAAAAGTCTATGTTTCGCTGTTTCCTAGTTGGTGTGGCGCACCTATTCTTAACGATGAGGCGTTTTTGCATTATATAACACAGGCTACAAAAACACTTACATACACAAATAAAGCCTCTTAAAATGGAAATGGGAAAGAAAATACGTATGTACCTATGCACATACCCAAATATATATGTGCCACTTATGTGACGTTGTATGCTGTTACTGTTTGATTGCGATAAATGCACAATTATGCAGTCGTTTTCCACGAGATTGATGTGCTATTGGCAATTCGATACGATCGGAGAGTTCCATCTCATTTGTTTTAGGGTGGTACTTAATTATTTGAAAACTTTAGAACAGGGGCAGAGCTAAGCTATTGTGCGGCTGGATAATGCATAAACAATAGTCGGTAAGCTAGTAACAAAATATTGCCCCGCGAAATATATATTACATATATATATATACATATATATATGGGGCATTTCACCTCAAGTGACCCAACTTTTGAAATCTATGTCTTCCGATCGGGATGAAATTTGCACCAAGGTTAGTCCTAAAAAATAGTAGTTATGACACAAAATTTCAATGGGATCGGTCAAACACACTCCGAGTTGGAGGGTCTAGAATTTTGACATTTTGGTCAAACGGCCATTTTTTCGGATCCATATAACTAATTACCTATTGTATTTAGAAA